CCTCATCCGGTGAGAACGACAAACGAATCTCTTCATCATGTACTTTCATTCGAAATGAAGTTCCCCCTAACCTTTTCACTTTGTCGCATTCGGCGGTCGTCGGCCGAGGGTCGCTGACGCGCGACGACCTGACCAAGTCGGCTCGATCAGTTGGCAGCTCGTGATTGGTCAGATCCGGCCTCACCACGTGCGTGCGCACGTGCGTTCAGGCCAGTCGAGCAGCCACTGAAGTGGGGCCACCGTGCGCGCGGCTATCGAGCGCGTGGTTATCGCGCGCTTGGTTGTCGCGCGCGCGCGCGGTTATCGCGTGCGCCAGTCTGTTATTTAGTCGGTTCGCCAGCCTCGTTGCACTGAATGCGGACTTGACCTGGAGGCACTGCTACCGCCGGAAGCTGCGTCTCTTGCCACCATCTCCATCGCTATCGCCGGCCTGTCGCCGAGGTGTGGGATTTGGTAGCACCGCCGTGCAAACGCTATTCACTTGCCCCTCCTCCGTCTACGGCCGCCTCGTCTCACTACTGACAGCATGCTACTTACAGCAAACAACTGGTCCTGTTGCTTCTGCACCGGATAGATTGGCACCCACACACATACACACACGTGCAGAAGGGACCAGCCTGCACGGGGCAGCCCAGCTCAGCCCCTTCCGACGGCCACCAGTCGAATCGTCTAGCATGCCCGAAGTCGGCATGACAACGCAATCAGGCGCCTCCTGCCCAACTTTGTGTGCCCCTCTGCCAGCCCCCTCCAGTCCGGACTCAACCAGTCTACCCACCCCTCCTTCCTCCCCCCTGCCCTGCCCCCCATCTCGCCCCTCCCCGTCCCGGTTTCTCCGCTCCTACGTCTGTTCCTACGCGTGTTTTGTGCTCTCCTCCTATTCTGCGCTCCTCCTTCGCTCCTCTTCTGCCGTCGTGCAACGGACAACTCAGGCGCCGCGCCGGCCGACACGGCCTAGGCGACCGCCTGCGGTGTTCGTGTACCTGTTGCTCTTTCAACTGTTGCTCTTCCTCCCGCCGGTGGACCACGCCTCGCTTCTGTGCATCGTCTGCCCCATCGTCGGTTGGTGCATTTTGACTGGGAATTTTAAATCGGTCCGGATCTCGTTGCTGGCCGGCTCGGAGGAGGGCGCGGGTGAGGCGAGGGCGAAGACGACGCCCGGTCTCTTCTTCCTTTTCTGGCTGGTCGTCTGCTCGTCCAGCCTCTGTCTGCTGCCGCCCTCGTCGGGCGGCTGCAGTCGCGCCGGCCTGCTCGCCTGCACGGCCGGCGCCAATCCCATCCTGCCCCTCCTCCACCCGCCACCGGGGCCGGATATCACGGACGTCCTGTTGCCTGGCGACTCGGCCGAGGTGACCAACAGGTGCGTGGATGCTAACGGCACGCTGCACGGCCTCTTCTCGACGTGGTACGGGGCGCCCAACTGCAGCTGCAACTGCCAGCCGGCCGGGATGATGGCGGTGAGCGTGTGCGAGCCGGGCTGCGTCGACGTGGCGGCCGGGGCGGACGCAGGGCCGGGAGGCCGGTCCAAGTCGGACGAGCGTCGCGGATTGGTCGGTTCCGAGAGCCCCAGTGCGCCTGAGAAGGAGATAAAAGTGCCCGGGCCGGGCTTTCAAAACGAGCAGGCCGACGTGAAAAGCCACGAGAAGCCGAGTCGGCCGCTGCTGAACGACATTGCCGAGAAGGACTGGCCGCGTGGCTGGAAGAAGACGGATCCGCACTCGGACCTGGTCGAGCGGCCGGAGGTGGTGGATAATGAGGCGGAGAGGCGGGCGAACAGGGAGATGAATGACGCAAACGTGTTGCCCGAGCGGAGCGGTGAAAAGCCGTTTGTGTCTGAAGGCCCGTACCAACGGGAGCCGGCGGAAAAAAGTGAGTGAGCCGCCGATTTGCTCTGGCCCTTTAACATACCATCCGACGACTCGTCTGCCGCTCAGCGCGCCAACCAGCTGCTGGGGCAGAGAGGGTGGGGCACTTTTGTGTTGAGGCGTGAAGAAGAGCTGGGCGTCGAGACCCGCCCACGCAGACGCCCAGTCAAGAGGTGGGCAAAATGCCTCCCGCTCCATTCACACATTCGCCTCAAGTCGTCCATTCCTGCACTCAATCGCCTCTCTTTTCCTTTCCGAGACCCGACGAGATTCGAACCGTCGCCAGCCGAGTCGAGTGGGTCCGCCGTCCATCTTGCCCCGA